CAGTCTGTCCAAGTGACACAGCATGTCGACCAAAAAGGCCAGATCCATAATCCACTTGAGGTCCGAGAGCAAGGGATAGTCCTTGTCCTTCTCTTCCATTAACAGTTTCACGGTATCCGAAAGCTCAAAGAAGCGAGGGAGTACCTGGCCTTTTGACAGCCACCTCACAGTGCAGTGCAGCGGCAGGTCACCTGGAAGCCCTTGGTCCAGTTCAGTGATGAGCTTCTTCAATTGCCTGTGGTTAAGCGCATGTGTGCGGATGTAGTTGACGATTTCCAAAGCCCGTTCCCAGATCTGATCATGGCTGGCGCTCCATCCGTGGCTATTGCAGTTAGTTTCGGTATGGGCAGATTTGTTTTCGCAAATGCAGCCATCGTTTCTTTCACATCTATGCCACGAGTTCTGTCTTTTAATGGCTCAATATCAAGGAGTTCTTCTTTGATCACACAATCGTTTGACACAGACCGTGCAAATATTGCCAACTGAGGCTTGTCTTGTATGTCACAACTCTCATCCAATGCGACACTAAAATACTCACATGCTTGAAGGTCAGAGTGCAACTGTGATTCAATAGCCGTGTTAATGTCCGATATTCTGTGTTCAACAGTGTGGCGGGACAGTTGGACATCTGATACCATGCGTTTTAGTTTGTTGTTTTCAGGAGACAAGATTTCAACGTCACTGAGGCATTTTTTAACGAACCCCCCTTCATTGTATGGCTTTTTAGCCCGTGCAATGTTCCAAGCCAGTTGATACGATGCAAGCGTTACGGTCTCTGAGCACTTCGTAAATTTTTGGAAAACCTGTATCTGCTTTTCTGCCTGACTTTTCAAAGTGACCAACTTGTGCTTGCAAAGTTCAGTCCCTTTTGAAAATTCCTGGTTGATGTTAGCATGGAGTGAGCTGAAGTGGCGCTGAAGATTTGAAGCTTTGAAATGCGCTAATGACGCCTGACATATAAGGCAGAATGGCTTACCGTTACGTTCAACAAAAAAATATAAATTCTCCCACTCTGTTAAAAACGTCCTGTGTTCATCTTCATATTTTCGTTTTGCTGTGCATTTTTTCCCTGCCATTTTGAGAGCGAACTTGACACAAATTGTTTACTTAAATGATCTTGCCCCTGGGAAACTTTCCGGTATTTTCATCTCACGCACATGCGCATTTGACGAAAATACCGTATTGAAGTCAAGCGAAGTGAACACGCACATAAAAAAAAAAAAAAAACACAAACACAAACTTCAATATGAACGTAAGAGCCGCATGAAACCAGGCAAAGAGCCGCATGCGGCTCGGGAGCCGCGGGTTGGCCACTCCTGTTATATAATGTTCCTATACAGCCTATGCAACTACATTGCAAATGTGGAGATGTTTTGTACTGAACACATCTGGTTATTAGATTGTATACCCAAGCAAAGCTTTTTCCTACACTACAGCAGCAGAAAAAGGCAAAGAGGGCAGTATGCTGGAAGCACAGCGGGCACTGCTGTCACATCAGTGGCTTGAGTTCAGTTTTGAATTCTGCTGTTTAATTTGAAGCTGCTTTTAAGTTTTGCTTTCTATGAACCAAGTGCTGTGAGTCAACACATAACATAATAAAACTCGTTAAACCCTGTCTTTGAGCAGCACCCCCACAACTCATTCAGTTCAGCAGCCTCTCTCTCATCAGCAAGCTAGTTTTTGTCACTTGCAGCAGCAGTGGTTATGGTATTGTGTTTGAGATAATTGTAGAGTGGATTAGTTTAGACTTTAGTTTGGGACACGCTCCTCGGTATATTCTGTATTTTCATCACTTCAGAATTTTCTGCATTTGTTCCTCCACAGGTTTACTCGCTTGATCTGTCTAAAGGCCAATTCATGCTTTTCACGTTTGCCAAGGTCGAGTGATGCAATTTTCATCGTCTTCTCAGGTCTGCGATGGTCCTTGTGGACTCTGTGGAAGTGTGCGTGCTGGGCACAAGCTCGCATCCGCATAGAGAAAGCCCCAAAACCAAAATGGATGCGTGTTTTGAAGAGAGGTTGTGCTAGGAGAGCTGCTGCTACTCACATGTCTATAATCACTTGTTAACAGATTATAAAGATACGAAATGATGGCACAGAACTCATGGAAGGAGATGGCCCATATCCTTGATAGAGACACATGTCGTTTCCTTTTAATGCCTAGAAAGAACATCAGATGTGCGTGCTTGGAGAATGTCAGCGTAGGCAGACAGAAGTCAGACCCTCTTTAGTAAGTATGAATTGGCATGCAAGACAGTCATCCATGTCCACATATGCATGCACAAGAGTATGTGAAAACCATGAATCTCCCTTAACAGTCTCTTTGCAGCGTAGCTCCACGTGTGCACCTACGTGGTAGCATGCTTTGTTTGGTGTGTTTACTAGATTACACTACTAGTCCATTATGTATTGGTTTTTAGTTCACAAAGCAGGTACTGCCACTGACATAAATGACTTGATCCAATACAACCTACCCCAGGAGCTGCTGATACAGTTCTAAAGGAATCATCGAGTCTGTTTTCTGTGCATCCAATCAATGTCTGGTTTGGCTCAGAAACCAAACAGGACAGGAACAAACTCCAGTGGACAATCAGGACTGCAGAAAAGATTGTCTGTGTCAGCTTGCCCTCCATGGAGGAGCTGTACACCTCACAGTTCAAAAAAAGGGTGGAGAAGATTTTTGCAGACCCCTCAAACCCAGGACACTATCGGTTTGAACTCTTCCCCCTCTGGACAACGCTACAGGTTACTGTGCACCAAGACTACCAGGCCCAAGTACAGTTTCTTCTCCCAGGCCGTCACTCTGATAAACACTTAACCCATGACAGTATGACTGGCCAATAACCCTCAGTGTATAGTGCGTAATACCTGTAAATATGCCCTGTACACGCGCACGCGCGCGCATATATATAAATAAATTCCCCACTCGCACCACTTCGGGGCGGTCTCCTTCCTTACAGCCGTTTCTAGGGCTGCACTC